TTCTGCCTATTTTTTATACTTTATTGATCAGTAAATCTTTCCGTTGCATAATTTAGTGAGCTAAGTATACATAAATATATATGTTTGCTATTAAGCAAGAAGATGTATTTACCAAGATGATAAAATTTAATATTTTCCTCTCTCCTGCAATCTATGCAATTCATGCACTAAAATTATGTTAGAGCAATGCGAGAAACATAAAATAATACAGATGCGATGGTAAATAGAGTTCCCTCAGTATCAACACGTAAATCTATCATGGAACTAACATGGCATGCATTTAGTGAAGGTTACAATGAAATTGGCATGAGCAGAAAAGGCGATTGTCTGTATCGTATGGAAATTCGGTAACAAGAGAATGGAACAGTGGGGATTCTAAATCCACGGTGTGAATCCCACTGGCCAATACAGCTTGTCGAAATCCGTAAACGAGACAATTCGGGCGTGGCGTGGCATGGCAGGGCATGGCAGGGCAGAGCTGGGCCAACGGGCGCAGACAGGCAGACGGACTGACCTCGTTGCTGAGTGGTGATTTGACTCCTCTGAACATGTTGTTCAGTGCGGCTAATCCTTTGCTGGTGCTGCTCTTGAGTGGAGTGCGAGTACTCCTGGGTGGAGTATTGCTGCTGCACCTGCTGTTGTTGGTGCTGCTCCTGCAGCTGTTGCTGCTGGTATGGGTTCGGATTTTGTCGTTGCATTTTAAGTCGTTATATATCACTATATATCATTGAAAATGACAACCAAATCGATGCAGTTGTCAACTGCACTAAAATAAAAACACCTCTAGATCACTTTTCTCTTTGATTTGCTTCTTCACTTTATATATATATATTGAAATATATTTCTTTACTGATACATTCGCTTCTTTATTGCTGAAATTGAATACAAAGCAGAGTGGTAAAAGAAAATTCGAATTAAATATTAACACTTCAAGCATTTATCACACCAAAATAGATATTTGGCAAACATGAAAATTTTATTTGATAAATTTTCTTTTTCAAATTTCTTTCTGAATTTTCTCACATGCACAGATACATAAATATGTTTTTTTTTTTTTTATCTTGATTTTATTTTTTTGTATATTTTATATCGAGCTGCATATAGATTTCGTTATAAATACGAATCTATATACATACATATACACATTAAAAAAGATTTCTTCATCATTATCATCACCAACACCATCCATCCTTCTTCATATTCATATTCTCAGCCTCCACTGAGGCATTTCGGACTATTTTTAGCCACTTGAACATTTCACTGCGACACACAAACACACTCATGCAGCGCATACAGAGAGAGACGTCGTCTCCTATACACACTGTGTCGGCTGTCGGTGGTATCTACTTATTTTTCAGGGGCTATTTTTAACATTTCTCTTTCTTTTTTTCCTGGTTTTTCCAATGCGAAAAACTCTGCACAGTTTTGATTTTCATGATTACACAGTATATTCGGTATTGGTTTTCACTATTTCGTGCATTATCGCAGCTCTCTTTGCCTGTAATCCTGGGCAGGATGAGCTAGGATAATGCACTCAAGTATATATTATAAAATGGATATGAATATATGTATGTATATATATTTTTTGATATCTGACATAYATATAYGTGTATATACATGTAAGATATCTTTGTAGCGGATCGCATATTCATATCTATATGCACATTTCGGTTTGTGTGTATGCACGAATTCACAGTCCATTCGTTGAATTGGGTGCGGACCCCACGATCTGGTGCCGAGCGGTGTGCCGAATCACCCGTCGAACGCGACCGAAGCACCGTTCGGATATTATTTTTAGATATTTAGCGCACTGAAAAATTCTTTCGGAATTTTCAAAGTGGTTACGAAACCAAAAGATTTCATGAACATTATATTCTTCATATTTTCCACTGATTTTACACAAATGAAATGCTAGTAGAGATCGGTAATCCTTACTTTATTGCGTTATCCTTGCGACGTTCTATATGTAGATGCTGTGACTATTTCGTAAAAAACTCTATGCGAACTCTATGGCTGAATATATATATAGATATATTTTCTTTAAATAATATCTATTTTCAAACTGTTTCAAGTCATAATCCCCGAGACTGAAACCAAGACGTCGATCGTTTGTGAGGTGCGAGCGAAGAATGACAAAATATCGTTGAGAATGCGATCAAATAGCTGCTGCACAAGGCACACGAACCAAGCGAGAGCCAAACGAGCTTCGTGTGTGACGGCTCTCGCTCCACACGAGATATTTTTGCACTTTCCACGACCAATTGTTGTTGTGGAAAATGCTGAGAGAGCGCAGATGCGCTACACACTCGGCATGTGGGCCTATGAGCAGGCCGTTTGTCTTTGCCTTTGCCTCACTAGCTGGAAAACGGGTCAGCGGCTATGAATTTGTTAATCTTCAAAACAGGCTCTGCTGGTTGGACTCAGTGTCAGAAGTGACATTAGAAAGATTGTAAGCTGTTCAATTAATTTCCATCTGCCGAAGAACAGGTGAACTGTAGCTGCTCACAACTTCGACTTTCAGTCTCATCAATCTCAATTCTAGCCATGTCTCATCTACCAAGTCAAAGTGCTGTGTCCCCGGTTTCGCCTGCTGCTCTGGCAGAGAAAAGGCTGACAAAAGCGCACAGCAATTTGACTTGCAGAGAATCGTGGCGATTCTCTCATTCATCTCAGATCGTTGGGATTCGGCAAGTGTTCGGCTTTTGAGTAAGTTGGCTAAAAATATATCACGATTTATTTTTGACACGTATTTTTCAACATTTTTTTTGTTTTTTTGCTGCAGAACAGAAAAGAAATCTAGAGAAATTCTAGATACTGCAAAAGTGGATGATAAAGTGCACTCTGAACTATCTTCCATCTATCTAACTTTAGTAGCCGCACTAAAAACTAATTCAATTATAGTTCAAATATATAAATTCGAATTGGTTTCGATAGTTCACATTCCTTCTGCAATTTACATACATTAAATATTTATATTAGATTTTTTCAAAATATTTTTCTTGCACCTTCTTTTCAAATTTTCCACACAATTTATTTGGTTTTTTTTTCTCTAATTTTAAAAATAAATATACATACGATTTGGATGCCTGCCTTTCTACATATAAACTTGATTATTCATTTTGTGTCTTAATCATAGCGACCAAGATGTTTTTTTTTTTTTTTTTTTTTTTTCCTTTTTTATATACATAT